AATTTAGCACACTTACGTATTTTAACGTGAAAATTACAGGAAAAATATAGCGAACTTGATTTGGATCAATTTACATAGCGTTGTCAAGGAAAAATCAAAAATTTAGAAAAAAATGATTTATTCTCCCTAGCGCACATAATATTCACCCCAAACTGTTCATATTTGCTGTAAAACTGTATTTTTGCGTGTAAAATACAGGGAAAAAATGTAAGCGCGATTGGAGTTGATGATCAATTTTTATCAAATTTTTGAAAAAAATGATAAATTTAATAAAAAAATTTATTTTTCCGCAAAAAACGAGAAAAATCGAACAAGTACCAACTTATTTGGTATAAAAACAAATGTTTAAAAAATATGTGTTGTATGTTAAATAATATATGTGATACAAAAAGGAACAATTTAAAAAAAAAATTTAAGAAAATTGTTCCTCCTTTGGTATAAAAACAAAAAAAATTTTAAATATGTTTTTATACCAAATAAGTTCGCTTCGAGTACGGAACGCTCGTTTTCAGTTCGAGTGTAACTCGCACTTGTCCGATTTTTTAGATTTTCAATGTAAAAATTCAAAGTTAGAAAGCCGCGGTTTAAAGGCTGAAAAGGTCTTAAAGCCGGAAGCCAGGGTGTTCCCAGAGTTTCTATTTTTTTAGATTTTTAATCGAAAAATTCTAACTTGGAAAGTTGCGATTTAGAGGCTTAAAAAGATCTTAAAACCGGAAGCCAGGGTGATCCTAAGATTCCAATTTTTTTTAGATTTTCAATGTAATCATTCTAACTTAGGAAGTTTTGCTATTTAGAGGCTAAAAAGATCTTAAAGCCGGAAGCTAGGGTGTTCCCAGGGTTCCTATTTTTTTTAGATTTTTAATGTAAAAATTCTAACTTCGAAAGTTGCGATTTAGAGGCTTAAAATGTCTTAAAACAGGAAGCCAGGGTGTTCCCAGTTTTCCTATTTTTTTAGATTTTCAATGTCAAGATTCGAATTTCGAAAGCTGCGATTTAGAAGCTAAAAAGGTCTTAAAGCCGGAAGCCAGGGTGTTCCCAGAGTTCCTATTTTTTTAGATTTTCAATGTAAAAATTCTAACTTCGAAAGTTGCGATTTAGAGGCTAAAAAGATCTTAAAACCGGAAGCCAGGGTGTTCCCAAAGTTCCTATTTTTTTAGACTTTCAGTGTAAAGATTCGAATTTCGATAGCTGCGATTTATTGGCATAAAAGGTCTTATAACCGGAAGCTTGGGAGTTCCCAGGGTTCCTCTTTTTTTAGATTTTCAATGTAAAAATTCAAAGTTTGAAAGCCGCGGTTTAAAGGCTGAAAAGTTCTTAAAAGCAGAAACCAGGGTGTTCGCAGCGTTTCAGTCTTTTTAGATTTTTAATCGAAAAATTCGAATTTCGAAAGCTGCGATTTAGAGACCAAAAAGGTCTCAAAACCGGAAGCCAGGGTGCTGCCAGTGCTCGAAAGGTAAAGATTAACGAAAAAAAGTATTGACCACGGTTTTGCCAGCATTGACATGACTCTGGAATATGTTCATAAGCCAGTCTTGTGCCAGTTCCTGGCTACACCCTAGCCTAAATTTCACATAGGTTTTTTAGTTGCTTAAGTTAACCTTCGGCTAGCCTTTAGCTAGCCTTTGTCATTTTTACGCTTACTATTACTTCTCAATCTTACAAGAAACTTGACTAAATATTGCAATATAATATTGTCAAAATTACCATGCAATACCGTGTCAATCTCCATGTAAGAAATTGTGTTATCTGGGTATATCGTTCACTTTATTTAAAATAAAGATTGTAATTTCTAACCAAAAGATGACATGACAATTGGGACTTCGCCCGTATTGACCGCATTATTACCATACGAATTTTACTGGATTGTAAATTTTTTTATTTTTTCGAAGAACAGCTACAATATATAGTTATATCCCGTGCTATTCGGCAATTATCATTTTCATTTTAATTATGGTGGTTTTCCTTGATTTTTTTTATTTTTTATAATGAAATGAAAAGTACTATTTCATAGTACTTTTCATTTTATTATAATTAAATTTATTTGTCTAGGTTATGAAAAATTTAACCATTTGAGTATATTTGACGCACGGACGAAGAGGACCTATGTGGGAAAAAGTGTGGGACAAAGTGGTCCTTAAGCATCGACAGGATCGACTAAAATGGTTCAAAAAATTGACTGAACAAGCTTTTAGAAGACTATTCGTAAATGTAAAAACTGGTATTCATAAAATCCTAGCTGATCGTTTTGTCGAAAAAACTTAAAATTACATTTTACGAAATGTATATTTAGCATTGTATTATATACTGTTCAATAATCAACAATTATATATGTAATGTTCATTCGTAAACCATTTTAGTGTACAGTACGTACTCACTAAGCATTAGTATATTTAACTTATAATAAAATACATACAAAAGCTTGCAGAATAGCTCATTAGATTACTCTTTATAGGCGCTAAAACGACTTTGCCTGAAATCAAAACCAATTTTTTTCAAAATATTTTTAAACTGCGTTTTACAATAATTTTTCATATTTTAAGATTACTATTAAACTTAATTTAGATTCTTCAAGTTGAAATTCGATCCATTCATATCAATGTATTCGTGCATTAGTTTTGTAACGTCTTGTAACAACTGACTGATTAACTTATTGCTTGCGCGCAAAATCAATTGCTTTTTCCTTATTTTGAAATGAGTTCTCATGAGGAGAACCGGAAGAAAATATGCGCACCATGCAGTCAGAAAATTGCTTTTAAAGTGGTTAAACCAGAAAAGTTCCTTATAAACGAAAAGTTAACTAATCTAATTAAAAAATTTAGCAACAACAATTTTAATTTAAATGGGCCTTTTAAAGATACCTTTTTCGTAATCTAGAAGTGTAAGATAGCATGTTCTACAAATGCTCAATAAAAATTTCTCATCATTTAAATAAAAAATATTATTGATTAATTTTTTAATTAAATTAGTTAACTTTTCGTTTATAAGAAACTTTTCTGGTTTAACCTTTCCAAAAGCAATTTTCCGACCGCATTGTGCACATGTTTTCTTCCGGTTCTCCTCATGAGAACTCATTTTAAAATGGAGAAAAAGCAATTGGTCTTGCGCGCAAGCTATAAGTTAATCAGTCAGTTATTACAAGAAGTTACAAAACTAATGCACGAATACACTGATATGAATGGATGAATGAATGAAATTTCAACTTGAATATAAATAGATAAATAAAGCTTAAATGGTAAATTAAGCTCAATGGTAATCATAAAATATGGAAAATTATTGCAAAACGCAGTTTAAAAAAAATATTTCGAAAAAAATTGGTTCTGATTTCAGGCAAAGTTGTTTTATCGTCTATAAAGAGTAATCTAATGAGCTATTCTACAAGCTTTTGTATGTATTTTACTATAAGTTAAATATACTAATGCTTAGTGAGTACTTACTGTACACTAAAATGGTTTACCAATGAACATTACAGATATAATTGTTGATTATTGAACAGTATATAATACAATGCTAAAAATACATTTCGTAAAATGTAATTTTAAGTTTTTTCGACAAAACGATCAGCTAGGATTTTATGAATACCAGTTTTTACATTTACGAATAGTCTTCTAAAAGCTTGTTCAGTCAATTTTTGGATCCATTTTAGTCGAACCTGTCGATGCTTGAGGGCCACTGTGGGGAAGGGATATAATTTCAGAATTTTACCCTTTTTTACATGTGACCATCCAATCGCTCAACTCTTTCTCCCCCGCATATGTTCTGTCCGTCCGTACGTCAGGTATACTCCAACGGTTAAATTTTTCCTAATCTTGAAAATATTGCTAATTCAGTGTAACTTTCATTTCAGTATAATTGTACTTATTTGTTTATATAATTAGTTAAATAAGGTATAGTAACCTAGTCCAATAAATCAATTTACCATTTTCACAAAGAAAACGACAGTTTTATTTTCTATTCAAATATGAAGTGCAAAAAATGGGCATATATTGTTTTCGTTTCATGCTTGTTTACATTTCACATGTTTGACGTACCCTTTTTATTTTCTTATTTCCAAAGTACTCATCTTGATATGAGTGTCAATTTGACTTTTATTGGAATTGCTAACATATTTCGCAAAAATTTACAAATATTTATATAATAATATCAGTAAACAATAATGTTAGTTAGTAGATATAGTTTTTTCTAAAATTCTTAATCGTCAGACTTTCGTCAAATTTTTTTTTATAATTTCATCAATGACAATAATATTTGAAATTGACGTCATTTTGAATGATGACTAAGCTAAATAATATATTAACTGCAAATTTTAGCTGAAGGCAGAATTTCAGACTTTATCACGACTTTTATTCAGCCTTAATTCTTAATTGCTTCCTTAATATTTTCCTATATTGAATTTCAATTGGCAAATTTGTCTTTAGTTTATAGTCCAGTCAAGTTAGAATTTTTAGATGTTGTAACTCAGGACCTTAATTTTTGTTGCTTAAACCCTTCATTTTGTGGTAAAAATAAAGTATCTAAATTTGGTACTTCGAACTCCTAGCAGAACCTTAAATTTTTTTAAGAAGTAGGGTCAAAAAATCAGTTTTTTCAAATCTCAAAAAATGGGTTTTTTGCGGAAACTATATCTCGGTCAATTTTGAGCTACAGGGTTCATTTTTTATCAAATTGCTCAGAATTTTATAAACTTTCTTTTTTATAATAACTATTTTTATGCTAAAATGTCATAGAAGGCGGTAATTTGAAAAAAACTGATTTTTGCACCTACTTCTTAAAAAATTTTTAGGTTCCGGTAGGAGTTCGAAGTACCAAATTTAGGTACCTTATTTTTACCCCAAAATAAAGGGTTTAAGCAAACAAAATTGAAGACCTGAGTTAAAACATGATATGCTTTGTTTTTCGACTAATTTGACTGGACTATTATACATTAACAGTTGTACACTTTTAATCTATTTCTAAATGTCATTATATACAATATTCTATATAATATGTCTTCTTTTTTTCAGATCCCGACCTTCTTCAACAAATCGAACTCGATGGTTGAATATAATTTTTAATAATCATTTTCATCTGATGTATGTTATAAATATAATACTTTTTTATATGATATAAATGTATGTATATTTATTTCATAAAATGAATTTATTAGTTTATATTTAAAATAGACTTAAAAATACACCTCTTTTCCGTATTTTATAAATTAACATTTAGTTCAAATTTACTTGATAAATATTTTAAATAAACCAAAACACAATTGTGACTAGAAAAGTTATGTTACGAACCGGAAAATTATTTAATAAAAATTAACAATTTTGTGGTTAGATGGAGGCACCACTGATCTCTATGTGGGATTTTTATTAATATAAATGTTTATAAGAAGATCAGAAGGAATCTCCACAATTGTGGACAAATTAATTGTATTTAATAAACAATATTTTATTAATAAACTTTGATTTATTTAACTTTAAATTATATATATTTACGCCCAGTGCGTGCTTAGCATTTCGTGGTTCCAGCGCAACTGAACAGTACGCGAACATACATTCTATCTCTCTATCTCTCTTCACGTAAGATAGAGAAACGTCACGCATTCAGTATCTCGCTTTTCGTGCAAGAGAAAAGTCGCGTAGTTACAGGAACCGCATTTATCGTGCTGCGATCCCCACAGTACTCCCCCCTAAGTGAAACGGTAATTAAAAAAAACTATTATTTTTATAAAACAAGAAGAAAAAAATTTTGAAGTTCTAATTACAAAGAGAAGGGTGTGATTGTGTTCGCAGCGAAAATTCAAATTTGTTAAAATTTTAAAATTACAAGAAAAAAAATGTTAAAAAATTATGAAAATTAATAGTGTCAACAAACAATTGTTCAAGAAAAATCAAGCATTTACACGGTGATCAGTCGTCAAATACCTGAGTAAGTTTTTACGTTAATATATAATACATAAATATTGCTGTGCACAGCTTGTTAAACAAAAATATAAATATTATACTAAACAATTATTTAAATATACACATTCTTACAATAAAAGTAATGACGTTGACAAATATCTAAATTTTCTAAAAAGAATATCGCAGTTATATTAGTCTTTTCGTTTTTTATAACTAAAATTTATGTGACTTTTATTGCTTGAAAGAGACCTTTTTTGATTAACATAGGTACGCATATTAGGCCTCACATTAAAATTCATATTACTTTGCGAAGTCGAAGGAATCGAATCAGCCTGAACTGTCGCATGGTAATCTGAATGTGCATTGCTCACGATGCCAGCGTTCGATTAACTCGTTGGCTGCCGGGTGATAAGGGGTGGTTCTTATACGGTTGCAACCGATTAATTTAAGAAGAGCAGAAAACAATCGAGATTCAAATTGAGAACCTTGATCGGTAGATAGGGTTTCTGGAGAACCAAACCGTGAAATCCAATTGTCGAAGAATGCTCGGCGTATTGTCGTAGCTTCGATATCTTTGAGCGGAATGGCCTCTGGTCATCGCGAGAACCTATCAATAAGGGTTAAGCAATATTTAAAGCCGTCGCACACTGGTAGTGGACCTACTATGTCCATATGGACGTGCCGGAACCTACTATCAGGTGCTATGAAATGAGACGGTAATGCAGTGGTATGCCTTGACACTTTAGAGCGTTGACAACACACGCAAGACCTACACCACTCCTTTGTCTTTGTTCATTGATGGCCAAATGTATCTTTTTCTGATTAATCGATCGGTTATTTTTCCCCCAGGATGAGCAGAGTTATGCATTCTATCAAAAATATTGTAATTTTAAATCCGCATTGTCAACAAAAATAATAAGAGAGTATTTTCCCTAGAACACCGCAGATGCAAACATTAGATTATCCAAATTTTCTATCACTTCTTATTCTTATTAATATAGGCAACATTAGTTACTGCTATTGGAATTTGTATTTGTATCGTATAAGAAAATAAATGATAACAAGTTGGCTAAAATTAGTTCAAAGTTTTGTAGATGTAGTTGATTTATTTTTAATCTATTTAAAAATTACTTATTACTACAAGTTAAATCACGCCTGTTGTCATGATTGAAATATAAAAGAATTTGTGCCTTGTGCGGTAGAAAAATTGTTTGCAAAGACGGTAATTTAGAAACTTTTTTCATCACAGTAAACCAAGAAAAGCTGATCAAAACTAATGAGAATAGAAATTTTTCTTTAAATAATTCAAAATTTTGTATCGAGCATGTGTTTAAATTGTCAAACAATATTATCTGAACTTATCAACGGCAATCCTATCGTTGGAAATTTTAAATTACTTAAAGAAAAACTTTTATTCATAAAAGTTTGGAAGACCTTTTTATGACTTTCTCTGAAGAAAAAAAAGGTTTTAAATTACCGTCTTTGCAAACAATTTTTTTACCACATAAGGTACAAACTTTCTATTTTAATCATGACAAAACGCGTGATTAAAAATAAATCAACTACATCTACAAAACTTTGAACTAATTTTAGCCAACTTGTTATCATTTATTTTCTTATACGATACAAATACAAATTCCAATAGCAGTAACTAATGTTGCCTATATTAATAAGAATAAGAAGTGATAGAAAATTTGGATAATCTAATGTTTGCATCTGCGGTGTTCTAGGGAAAATACTCTCTTATTATTTTTGTTGACAATGCGGATTTAAAATTACAATATTGATCATTCAACTTTTATTCCCAAAAATTATAGTTATGTATTATTATTATTATTTTTTTTTTACATTTAATAAGTACACTAGAACTCCCGAAGGTGGCACTCTCAGATTCTTGTGTGCCACCTTCAAAATTCGACCTTCAAACCGCTGTAGAGGTCAAACACTGTAAACAGTAAGTGCCGTATAGGGTACGAAAATGATGGGGCGTTAGAACAAAATTTATACATATACAGTTTTTATATAAAATTTATATTTTATATTATATATATTGATACATTTTGTTATTAAAAAGTGATTTAAAATTTAAAAGAATTTTTATTTGTAGAACAATTAATTTTTAGAATGCAATTTAATTTTTAAATAATTGAATTTGGAAAAAATAATGTTCCTAATTTTAGTGATTAATATAAATATGAGTCGTATATTTAATTTATAACTCTTTGATTTATGTTCAAATTAAATTTAATGAAATTAACATTATACATTATATGCATTAAATATAAATACAGTTTTTAAAAAATCATTTTTATTTTTTATTATTCAAACTAGCTAAAAGAAACGCGCGTAAACGCTCGCGATATCTACGATTTTTTATGAAAAATTAAAAATTTATTTTTATTTGACGGACACTTATTGGAGTTTGGTCTCACAAAAATAATATTATTTTTGTAATCGTTACTGTATTACTATTTCAACATTATGGTGTTATAATAATATAATACCTATTATTGCCCAGTCAATATGACCTTTAAATTTTGTACTCAAATAAAGATTATATGCTACGATCGTCGAATTGTCAGCAATACATTTAAATGACCCATCTCAGGATCCATGCAGGGTGAATTCCTATTTTGTTTACCACAAGGCCCATGAACTTAAAATCGCTTTACAACGTTAAAAAGTTCTGGATTCTTTATTTCGTCTGTGATTTCAGCACATATCATTTTATTTAAAGTTTTTGAATCGCAAATTTGTGTACGTAAACATATAGTTAAAAGCACATGTGGCAATCCACGCTTTTTTCTTCTCTATGAAAGACGATACATATAAAATTGTAAATGAATAAAATTACAAGTACCTTGAGTATGCTTAAGGTTAACAGTTCATCCAGGATCACCATAAGGAAACATTGTAGGATATGTCATGGGATCAAAATTTTCCCTAACAATAAGACTAGAAATTATTTTCTTATTATTTTCTGTTGTGCATACTGAATTTATTACATCAACATGTAAATCCCTCTTCAATTACTGTAGATAATTTCTTCATCTTACAGGACAAATTTTTTTCTTTGGGTATTTTCTTTTCATTCTCAGTTTCAGTAGACAGAACTCTGTTGTCATTTTTACTGGGAAAAGTCTTTAAAAAATATGAAAGGTTTAGTTCACCATTTTGAAGTTCTTTAGCTCGATTTATGAAAAGACAATTCCAATCATTCTCTACAAATAGAAATCCTGATATTAGACATTCTAACTGCCGGAAAATGATTTAATTAATTGTTTTCAAAAAATGATATCAAATGCTTCCTCATTATATTATTAGCAGTTTCATAAATTAATCTTTTAATTTACACTGTTAACCAATACCCTACTGAAAATCCCCACATAGGCTCCTATGTAGGAAGCCATATGGTTTCCTATACAAAATCGTATACGTAATTGGAACAGGAATTTGAATAGGAAATTAAGTAGGAATTATCATATGAATGCACATTATATCTTAATATCATGCGCACTAGTTTTCTTCAACTTTTTCGGCTGCGCAATAAATTTTTTTCATCTCTGTAGTCTATCAGGAACCTCTACTATTGAAAGATATATATCTTAGAGTTGAAAAAAAAATTCATATTATAGGAATTGAAATAGGAATATATATAGGAATGTACATTCCTGTGTGGATGTGGATTCATATGATAATTCCGACTTAATTTCCTATTCAAATTCCTGTTTCAATTACGTATACGATTTTGTATAGGAAACCATATGGCTTCCTATTTAGGGACCCATGTGGTTTCCCATATGGAAGCCTATGTGTGAATTTTCAGTGGGGTACAGATTTTGCAAATGCTATTGCATTATACTTTACACTTAACTGTATTAATCGGTTGTTGATCAACATCTACAAAAAATTCTGTTGGTTTAAAAGGGAACAATCTAATTAAATATTATATTTGATGAATATTCAAACACCCTGTATTAAGGCTATCAAAAATATAAAGTCTTACTCCATCGTAATAAACACAAATCCAATGACCAGAATTGTTATTACCGCTATAAACTATTTGAAGATTTTTATCTCTTTCTCTAATTGAAACAATTAAATCAAGCATTTGTAAATCAAAGTACTTTGCATAATGAAAAAAGAATTTGAATCATTTTTTAATAATTCTTGAAATTTATACATATTCATATCATTTAACATTTCATTTACATTTTCAATAATTTTAAAATCTTCATTACTTAAAATAAAATACTCTTCTATGTTCGACATGGTATCCTTCTTCAACTTTTAAACTGTTGATAAAGCCATTTTTCAAAACAAATCGTTTATTTTAGTTTATTGCTTTAAAAAATTTACTTACATGTGTTTCACCTATAAAATATTTCATTAACTATAATTCAGCTAACTAATGCAACAATGGTAGTCTTACATGAACGTGAATTAGCGTTGTTTAATCTTTTTCCATATTATATTATTTTCGATAATGATTATTATTTGACTTATTTTCCTCTGCACTTTTTATTAATATTCAAATCAATATTCAACTCACAAAG